AAAGGTTGGTGAAAAAGGAGCCCTGACATTATAAATAAAAAAAAAAAAAAAAAAAAAAAAAAAAAAACAACTGTTGCTGTTTTCCCTAAAGCTGCTTCCTTTTCTTGTTGACATAGGACTAGAACTAGCTTTGAAAAGGAAGATGGACACATCCTATTCTCTAACCATATCCCCATATAAGAGAGATGGTGAAAAGAGGACTCCAAATAGTGACTCCAATGCCACTCTTGTGGTAATGATAAGCCTGCCATCACAAGTGACAGTGAGCAGAGCTGTCCTAATAATCACCCTATCCTAGAGCCTTTATTCCCAAAAGATTAGCCCATTTTTCAGCAGAGCTGATCAAGAGATACCAGGTTGATAACACAATTTAAGAACCCACATTCCTATAAAAAAAGTTTTAAAAAAGAAAGTACTCTTACATCTTTCTCCTTTTTATCAGGTACTGGGGTTTGCTTCCTCATGTTATTTCCTGTGTAGGCAACACATTTCTCAAAAAAGGAAAAGGGAAAAGAAGAGAAATGTCTTAATTATTAATTAATACTGTAAATTAAGCAAATTCCTGTGAGATATCCTGATACTACACAAGTAAAACATGATTTGAATGCTGGAGCAGAAAGGAACCCAGAGGTCATTCATTCCTATGTAGGCTCTGACCTAGCCCATTTCCAACACATGATCTGTGTTATGCAGTTAATTAGAAAAACATCTTATTTGCCCTACTGGATTCTCATCATTCACCATCTGGAACCCCTACCTCCCCATGGTAGCCAGCACAATTTCTAGTCCATAGGAAGTACTCCATAAGTATTTTGTAAGAGGATAAAGGTAATACTCACTAGCTGCCATTCTCCTATATCTTCATTCCAATGGACATAGTTTTCAATCATTTCCTTTTAGAAGAATCAAAGATAGTCTATTTTAAATATTTAACAACATTTAAAATATTGAAAAATATTCATGGAACTAAAATCTTTAAAATGTTAAGTGAGAAAACTTGTCTCAAAACATTATATACTGCATGATACCCTTTTTATAAATTTGAAAATACACATTTCTTAGGAATACATGTAGATGCAATTAAACTATATAAAAATAAAAAGCAAGAGATTGAGGAACACAGGAATCAGAATAATGGTTACCTTGGGTTGGAAGAGGCAAAGGGATAAAATAGGGGAGGGGAAAACCATTCAGTTAGAAGTAGGTTACCGTCAAAGTCCTAGAGCTTTTGTTTGGGGTGATGAGTTCACTACAAAATTACTAACTAAATAAAAGCAGGCCATCTAAGGACCAATAAGGAAAATGTACCCTAAATACAGAGTTCTGCATACCTGAGGTCCAAGGGAAAAAAAATACTAAGGCCTATTTAGACAAACTTCTTAAAGCTATATTGAGATTCAAAATAGATTTTTAAGAAAATCAATATGTTTAAGTTTACTAAAACTTGGGGTAAAAAAATAAAGGCTGAGATTTTTAAATTATACTAGTATTAAGAATTGGTATGCATCTGGAGATGGATAGTGGTGATGGTTGCACAACAATGTGAATTTACTTAATGTTGCTAAACTGCACACTCAAAAATGGCTAAAATGGTAAATTTCATGTTGTGTATATTTCACCACACACACAAAGAATTAGCATCCATAAGCAGAGAGGAAAAAGTTAGCGCAGGTGTTCTGTTTATTCTACTTACATGATAAAGGATGTTGAATAAATGAACAGAACCTATACCTTGATTCTAATTGCATTTACATGAATCTGAGTTCCTCTAAAGGGCTGAGAAATTCTTATTTAGATATTTAGTTACAGAATTATGTATTAAGAAAAGTTAACTGAAGTGAAATGTGATAATATTTGTTCAAGAAAACTTGATAGTCAATAACTGAAGTGTAAATAATTAGAACGTATATTTCCTTGTTCCTTAACTCGTCAAGTGACCTAACGGATCGCAACCCTCAGTGTTGCCCCCGTACCGGACCGGGGACCGGCGACGGGATCGCAAGCCTCGGCGTTGCTCCCGCGCCTCGCTCAGCCAGTGAGCGGGAGCCGGTCTGTACGTGGGATCCGAACCCTCGGACGGGAGCGCTGCCGCGCTTCCCAAGCGGCGCACTATCCAGTGCGCCACCGGGCCGGCCCAGAGAACTTTTCACGTACTTGATAGTCTTGAGGTATGAAGTTATCAATAATAAGCATCTGAAGTCGAAGCTCCCGGCTAAGTTGTCGAATGTTCTCCAGTAGGCCTTCAATTTCCCTCTGATGTTCTTGTTGGAGATCAGCCATCTACCAGAAAATCCATTAAAATATTATGAACAAACAACATTTTAAACACAAAGCAGTTCCACCATCTGACACAGGGCACTGGTCTAAGAGGCCTTGAAAGAGTGGACCGAGTGACACTACCACCATCTATATTCCATGTTGGAAGTTAAGGTTGGAAAGAAATAATTTAGCTTAATAGTTAAAATTAAAAATTGCAAATAAAGGAGAAAGATTTTATTTCTTTTTCTTTCTTTTTTTTTTTTTTTGTCTTTTTTCGTGACCGGTAACGGGATCGCAACCCTTGGTGTCGCGCCCGCACTGCACTCAAACAGTGAGCGGACCAGTCTCTATATGGGATCCGAACCCTCGGCGGGAGCGCCACCACACTCCCAAGCACCGCACTCTACTGAGTGCGCCACCGGGCCGGCCCAAAGATTTTATTTCTTTTTCTTTCTTTTTTTTTTTTTTTGTCTTTTTTCGTGACCGGTAACGGGATCGCAACCCTTGGTGTCGCGCCCGCACTGCACTCAAACAGTGAGCGGACCAGTCTCTATATGGGATCCGAACCCTCGGCGGGAGCGCCACCACACTCCCAAGCACCGCACTCTACTGAGTGCGCCACCGGGCCGGCCCAAAGATTTTATTTCTTTAAAATTGTAAGCAAACATGATTATTTATGGAATTTTAATCAATCTTAATCAATGGAACTTCTTTTTTAAAAATTCAGAACTATATGATTAGGTAATTTCTAAGAGACCAACCTCTGATTTTGCAGCCATCAGCATAGTCCAAACTTTCTTTAATTTCTTGGTCTTTCCCTGTGCTTCCTCTTGCAAACTGGTATATTTTTCTTCAATATCCAAGCGTTCTTGCTATGACAAAAATTGGTAAACTTCAAAATAACTTTCTTCATTAAAGCACAAATTTAATTATTTAATAAATGATATAAATGTTTAGCAACTATTATCTTCAAAGCAATCTATAAATCTGCTTTAAAATTTCATTAAGACTGTAAATAGAAAAGTTAAATATCTTAGGCAAACTATTAAACTAAACACAAAAAGTCAACCTACCTCTTTTTCTTCAAGTTCTTTGCGAAGTTGCTCTGCTCTTTTCCTCCTTTCTTCCAGTTCCATATTAGATTCTTCAAGAAGTTTTTCTTGTTCCTCAGCTTTGGCCAACAAATCAACACCACCAACAATTACCTTCTTTTCCAGTGCAGATAATTTTTCCAGCAAAGACTGATGCTCCTGTCTGTTGATTAAAACAAGAATAGTTTATACTCACTAATCATCTACTATTCTACTAATATCATTTCCCAAAATTTAACAAGAATTCAAATGTACAAATTCAAAATAGAAATATAATTATGTAACATCTCTATCAAACTATACCACTATATAGTATTAATTAATTTATGATTTAATCAATAACTAATTCAAATTCACTGATATTTTTTCCTCCCAGAGATAAATAATCAAAACGGATCTAACATTTTGAAACACACCATATACAATGGGACCTTCTATCCAAAAACAGCTACACTGGAGATAAAAATCAAGCTTTTAATTACTATTCAATTTTCCTGCTTACACAGGAATATTTTCCTATGAAAAATATTAGAAATTTAAATCATAAATTCATCTCAATTCAGTAATACTCACTGGGCTTTAAGAAGATCTTTTTCCCGTTTCTCTAATTCAGCTCTAGCCTTGTTTCTTTCTTCTTCTTCCATGTCAAGCTTTGTTTCAAGTGCTTTTCTCTCCTCATCGATTTTTGCTTGCATTTCAACCATCTTATCTGGGGAAACTTTCTTTTTACCTGTTTGAGTCATTCAATTGCAACAGTCACTAAAATGAGTCGTTTCAGGCTTATATAAATTATGTTCAACATAGAACTGTCTATACTCCTCAATAATACAACATCAAATATCAACAGTTTAAGGAATTCAAACCAATAATATCCTTCATTTCTACTTATTATGTTCCTAGAAGAACTTTTAACTCTTTGCTAAATTCAAACAGTTGTCCAATTGTGCAATGATAACTAAGAACAAAAGTTAAATGAAAGAGAAGCAAAACAGATGAGCATACAGGGAAGAAAAGATTAACAGGAAAGCCAAATAAAAAAGCAAAGATTTTGTGTCCCCAAATAACATATGTAGGTTTAAAAAAGCAAAATGATTCTTCAGTTACTTCTTCCTGATAACCAAGTACAAAACCAAGTGGCTTTTCAAAATACCCTCCCCCAAATCACATAAAATAAATGCATAAATAAAAGTCACATATAGGTATAAGATACACAGACAAAAATATTAGGCAGAATTATATCAATTAGTTTTTAATATACTTTCAGAGTTTTTCTAAAATTTTTGTTTAATAAAATTACTTAAAAGTATTTTATTTCACAGTATTACATACTTAAAGGAAGAAATTCTAAACTAATTATATAACAGGCATGTCACAGTTGCTGGCTGTCATAATATATCATCATTCCCTAAATGAGCAACTAAAATAGCTCATTATTATGTCAAATTCAGGATCCTAAATCTCTCGAAGTCTGATTAAACATGCCAAATATAAGTAGAAATACTGCCAAATAATAAAGTTTGAATATAGCTTCTAATTGATCATTTTGATTATAATGGCTAGTAGTGTTTTATATATATATATACACATACACACAATAGGTGCCCAATGAAAATTTATTGATGAATTTCAAAATCATGAAAAATCAAAAAGAGAAAATGAAAACTAGCTTATTAAACTGAGTCAAAGACAATTCACTTCTGGTAATACAATTTCTTAGAAACATACATTCCTTCAGAAAACCAATCAAACTTTTCATAGAATTGGTTGGTCTGAGGCTCTCCTGAAAGCTTTCTGTCATTCTTAACTTCCTTCCCAAAGGACCACAGAAGAGTGTAAACCAAAAGAGTTTATAAATTGTTAATGTTTCCACCCAAAAGCTAACCCCTCCTACTAACAAGGAAAAAGAACTGAAAAATAAGTATGATGGAGATACACATCAGAATATATTCTTTCAGGAACCATAAGATGAAGAATCATTCATAGGCTTTAACTCTTTAAGACAAAATTATATTAAAAACTCAAGAGTTTAAAATATAACACTCTTCATTCTATAGTCCAAAGCAAACCTAAGCCGCAAAACAAATAAAAGAGTAAATAAAAGCACTGATCCAAATATATGTTTTGGTGTGGTGTGATTCATTGCATTCCAAAACTCAGAATGTAGACCTAATTCTGGTGGCTTGTTTGACACAATCACCTGTATTGAACCTTCTAAATTACACTGTTAAAAAACGTTTAAAAGTAATTTAACTCCTATTCCCAATGGATTCCTAGAAAAGATTACCCATCAGTAATACTATTTCTTAGAAATTTGAGGGAGAAAAGCATAAGTTCAGGTATATAGTAAGTATATGCATTAAAAAAAATCTTACTTCCTTTCTAACTCAATTACAAATATTTAAAGAAAAAAATGGCAAATACATTAAGACAAAAATAATATATGTATGAAGACATGAATACTTATGGTATAGAGGAAATAATCTGATCAACATATGATCATTAGAGTTTTTAGACTTCTAGGATTCTGTTTTATTAAGAGTTGAAAACTTAGTTTCAAAACCCATTAAGAGGCAATAAAGTAAAAAGATTTTATATATAGAAATACAAAAACACATGCCTACTGATGAATTAATACTATGCCTGAATTACATTAGTAATTCTAAACCACTCAGGTAATTTTTTCAAACTGATGCTTTAGCAGCAAAAATCTTATTGTGCTCTTGTAACATTTTCATGAAGATGACCATGCATACATAGATATTACTCCAGTCAGAATCACTCTGACAAATCATTATATTTCTTCCCAAATAATATTTTAAGCTAAATGTGAATATGTACCCACTCTCCAGCAGCCACATTCCAGCCTTCCTTTCAGTATCTGAGAGCACCCCTCACATGAAACTTCAAGAAAGAAATGACCCCATAGGCTTTGTCTGGCTCATGTGCAAAGAGAAAAGGTGGCAGCTTCCACTCTCAGGAAAAGTAGTCAGAGACAAAGTCCCCGAAGCTCTTCCTTGGCAGCTCTGAAGGGAACATAGGAGGCAAATACTCTGCTTGACTGTTCCCCCTGCTCCTTTTGTAGGTTCATTCAGGGTTCTTGCCTAGGTGGACAAAATGCTGTGGGGCTCCATGACTCATGTGGAGGAACCTGGCCAAGGAAAAGTAGCCCCTGCAACGACAATACCTCTGAGCACCTTCTATGGGTGACAGACTAAGGGCTGTTTAAGCTGCTAACTAGACATACTTCCTTGAAGAAAGGAGGCAGAGGCTTCACCCCTCAGTGTTTTATTTTATTTTATTTTTTGACCGGTAAGGGGAGTGCAACCCTCGGCACGGTGTAGTCTGCACCACGCTCAGCCAGTGAGCGCACCAGCCATCCCTATATAGGATCTGAACCCATGGCCTCAGCGCTACTAGCGCTGCACTCTCCTGAGTGAGCCACGGGGCTGGCCCTAAAAGTTAAAACATACAAAAAACTTATCAACCAAGCCATTCAAACAAAAAAACCTTTCTTTTTCTAATACTGCATGATAAAATTTAGCATAAAATTTAAAGTAAATAAATCTTTAAAAAATGTTAGTGTCATAAAGAGTACTAAATTAAGCCAAATAGAAGTAGTAACATTTTAAATTTCCCTTTGCCATGTTCTCTAACCAAAGCTGTAAAGCTGAACTGGCAAGAGAAAGTTAAAGAGAAGAACTTCCGAGAAGTGTTAATTGAATTAATTTCATTTTTGTTACATGAGCACCCACGCGCATAGGTAACCAGGTATTTGATTCTTGGCTTTAAAAAAAGAAAAAAAAAAATGTTTGAATGTAAAATCATTTACATTCGTATTTCCAAAATTTGGCTTAATGGGTCTTTAAGAATTTAAGAAAAAAGGAAGGTTTTTTAAAAAACAAAAAATGGATACTTACCTCGTAAAAAATGATTAAATTTTAAAAATCAATGTATTTAAATAACAAAGTTCTTTATAGGATAAATAATTGTACCATGTGGAGTGCAAATCAATCACACCAACCTGCTTGATCTTGCAATAAGAAGTAGTAAGCAAATCGTAGACAGGAAGCATATGCACAGAGATGAGGAGGAAAAAAGGAAAACATTATTTCTTTTGTAAAACATAGAAAAATGTATAATAGCATTCATTTATACTATAACTATAGAAATAAATCAAATCATTATCAAAACTGAAATAGAGCTATGTGAAAAGAAAGAATATTCAACACAATGAGAGATGTAATTTAAACAAGGATATTAAGATTAATTTAGTCTAAGAGTACAGCTCAAACCAATCGTGAGAGTGCACACTGATTCCCAAACTTCTGGAAATCTAACAGTTCAGCACCACGTGATTATGGTAATGGTAGACACAGAATTGGGAACCTGCTAAGACCTAGGAATTAATCTAAAACAGCAAAACAGAAAATTAAGCCAACTTAAAAAAATTACTATGCTAAAAGTAACAAAATTCATATTGTTCATTTCTAAAATTTCCCAATTCAGTGTTTCTTCTAGTATAAGGATCCATTACAGGTGTGCCCCACTTTAAGAAAATCCAACACAAAATCCTGAACTAAATAGATAAATTAGATTACAGTAATTTGCACTGATTATTTGAATTAATGAAGAATTTTTAAAGACAGCAAGTTCTCCTAATACATTTGATTTTCCCACTTGATTATAAGCAATTTTTTTCAGAAAAAAAACCATTTATTACATAAAGTGAAGTACACTTGTATAGTAATAAACTTACATTCAGTCTATTAAATGGTTGAGGGTAATTATAACAATGACTCTATAGAAGTGAGTGCAAATTAATGATTCAGGCAAGAGACACCTAAAGAAAGACTATTCATATTTTTAAAAGAAAAGGTACATATAAGCTACACACAGCAACACATGCTGGGACAACCATCCCTCCACTTCACCAACACACCCACATTACAGCAAAAAAAGTTATGTGTTAGGTGTAAAAATAGCAATTAAAACTTCTTGAATTGAACAAAGTACAACTAATTCCATAACATACTTTCATATAACTACTCTTTAAGAATTAAGGTAAATTTTAAAACAGAAAATTAAATTACAATGCCTCCCACTCAGATATCTTCTCATATTTCACAGTTTATAATACAAAATAATACCTCTATATGATTTCTAAAGCAATTTCATGTATTTTTACAAATTATACTCTGAAATTAATTATTTTGGTAACTTGCTTAAGAACTGTCAATAGAAAACTAAATTTCTAATATTCTTGGAGTTCATCCTCTAGAAAGATAAAAGCATAAGAATGAGCAATTATTTTTGTTATTAGTTTTGGAAAGGGTAAGTATATAGATAATGCTTTAAAAGACAGTAAGCTGCAAGCTGGTACAAGAAAGGATCACCTCCCTTTTCTTCTGAAAATAAAACATAAATAGATAAATTAAACAAACTTTTCAACTTAATTAAACTAAGGTTTAAGAAAAAGCCTTTAAGTTTGAAATAAGTCTAGACAGATCCTATATAAACTACTTCTTGTGATTCTGAATTCTGTAATTCTACCTTAGAAAATTTCTTAAAATCTAACAGGTAATTTAGAAATAGGGATAAATTCCCATTTGAAATAAAATACTATTTAATTTCTCTTTACTTGCTTCAAACCATACATTTGTCTTTGTTTGGGAGCCTTCAATCTTAAGCTACTGCTACAAAAACACAAAGTGTAAATGTTTATAACTGTACAACACCTTCTAATAGTCACTAGTGTACTTCCAAATATAATTCATACGTTTAGAAATTCAGGACTTGTTATCACATGTTCCTTATACTGACCAGGATTAGAAATTTATCATGAAACATAAAAAGAACCATAAGAATTATTATTTTATACAGCTTACTAGCTCTCTTTACATTATCTCAATTGCAAAAGCATGAATCTCTCTTCCATTGTCCCAAACATAAGCTAAAGCATATGTTTTAACAATTATTAACTGGAAGCAATGAAGTGGGTGGGAGAAGTCATCACATGCTTTGTTCCACTAAGTCCAACATGTATTCTTCAAGTAATGACAAGGATCAGTGCAGCATTTCTCAAATGAAGCCCATGGGTTATGGAAAAGCCAAAGCTCTGTTAAAGAATTTAAGAGCTACCACTCACTAGGCAAGAACTTATCCAGAGGTTTCTCTATGACAGAACATGTGGAGTCTGAACTACTGCTGCTGCTACTGCCTGGAAGACAAAGAAATGAGCCCAACGGGAACCAAAGAAAGAGGAAACAAGAAAATGAACACATACACAGAGAAAAATTTAGTTCTAGACAAAGAATTTTAAAGGATAATCAAGCTTTGTATTAAAGAATCCAAACTTACTTTTCCTTAAAACCAGTCTTGATAGTCTATTCAATATTCTTTACTTTACAAAACCATACAGGGGAATTAGAAATTGTATAATTTTAAGCATCTACTGTGGACAAATCCCATTAATCATTTAAAACAATAATTCAGAGGGTTAAAATGGCAAGAATAAAAAAATAAGTCATTTGGTGACATCTAAGTCTATTTAAACTATTTAGGTTAAGGGAATGGAGTTTGATTTATTTAATTTTTTAATGTGTGGAAGAAGTTTATTATAATGTAAGCATGTTATTTGTTGGATTCTGAAGTATTCCATAGGTGTTTTGTTATACACTTGTTTGGGGTTAGCAGTGTATTTTCTGGTTAAACATCACAGATTCGTACATTTCTCTTCTCACCAAAACAGTCTCTCCTCTAGTGGTATGTAAATAATGAATGACCGGCCTGCTTCTTATCTTAAGCAAATGTGATACTTCTTGTTTCACTCATTTGCTTTCTAGCAGCCTCCCCAGGTAAGTCTTGCCACATGGTCAGTCTTCTGTTTGTTAGGTTTTATAAATCCTAAAAGTTATAGTCAGAAACAGCTCTAATAAACCAAGCATGGATAATTTCATTCATTTCTTCTGAGGTTGTAGAATTTACATCCATATTTTCAGCAGCTGTCACACTGTTGCAAAAAAAATATGGAACACTTCACAAATTTGTGTGTCATCCTTGTACAGGGGCCACGCTAATCTTCTCTGTATCATTCCAATTTTAGTATATGTACTGCTGATCGAGCACAGGGGAATGGAGTTTTAAAACTTAAAGTCATACACAATATTATAGAAATGATAAATTATCCTTCATTACAGACAGATTGGTCTGTCTCTAATATTGCTCTCTCCCCTCCAAAACATCAAACTATCAAATATAATTATTTATGTTTAAGGTTTCACAGCAAAACTTTGAAAAGGCTCACTTAAAATTTTTAAATTTCTAAGCCTGGAAAGAAGGCATATTACTATTAAATACTTTAACATATTAAGCAGTGGCATTTTTTCTATTTAAAATTTTATTTTTAATAAATCTATTATTTGCTTTAGCTTTCAAAAGAATAATTTACTCTGTGAAAAACTAGGTATAAACAAAAAACCATTTCTTTAAATCAGGGGTTGGCAAACATTTTCTGCAAAAGGACAGAAAATAAGTGTTTTAGACTATGTAGGCCATACAGTTTTATTTGAAAGCAGCCATAGACAATATGTAAACAAATGAGCACGGCTGTTTTAATAAATTTTATTTACAAAAACAGGTGTTGGGCTGGATTTGGCCAACAGATTATATTTTGCCAACGCTTGATCTAAATCATGCTTTTCCTGTCTTTTATGAAATAGTATCTTCATAATTTTTAAATTTTAGGCTCCTAATCAAGCAGTGATGGGTTTATTTTCAGCAAAATCATTTTAATAAGACAAGCAAAATATGCACCAGCTTGAAAACAATGATCCACATTAATGGAAGAGAGTTCTGAAATAAATAAATATTTAGGATAAAAAGGTTTGAAAAGTAGGCCATAATAATGTGTCTCTTTTGCATGTTATCTGTATGTTTATCACAACAAACACAGTTTTAATTCATACAAATGCCTCAAAACAGGGTAAGAATAAGAGCTTTCACTTTATAAAGAAAAATAATTAAATTAAAAATAGAATCCTCATACAAATTTATTTAAAAATTCAATGAATCCTAAAAACCAATCTTGCTTAAGGAAAAACTCCACATTATCCTAATTTTCTAAAAAATTTAGGTCCCTAACACAGATGAAAGTCCCTACATAAAATTAAAACACTACATGAAATTTTAAAATGGTATATCCACTATCACAGTTTTATAATTCTAAATAAACAGAACATATGGCATTCTGAGTCAGCAATAAACAGGAAAATTAGTACAGGAGGAAAAAAAAAACATAAAGTTAACCAGGTATATGGCATACACTGTCTGTTCTAATTACTACCATAACTAAAAATGGCAAAATAAAAAGCATTCACTCTACTACTGCCTCAGGAACGTGAAACAATAGAACACCAAACAGAACTTACCCCTTCGTTTTTTCCTTTTCTCTCCGTCTTCTCCAACCTCACCTTCTTCATCGTCATCCTCCTCTGACCCACTGATATCAGAACCTGATATTTCTTCCCCTTGGACAGAAATTTAATACAATGATTTTTATTCTGCATCAATTCACTGGCTATTTAGGAAATACCTATATCGACTTTTCTTCATTAAATTTTTGTTGGCCCACACAACAAATTTATATGCTATTTAAATAATCCTGGACAGTTTATCAGATGTGCTAATCTCAGAAATACATAGGACGTACACAGAGACTTTATTTGTTTATTTATTTGGCAGCTGGCTGGTATGGGGAATCCAAACCCTTGACCTTACCAATTGAGCCAACAAGCCAGCCAGCTCAGAGACTTCATTTTTAAAGTCCCTAAAGAGATATTAAAATCCACTCATTTAAACTTTCAAATCATTAGTTTAAGCACAGTTCTGAATATATATAAAAATTACATGTAAGATTTATTAATTTGGTCTTTTGAAAATGTGACCGCTTTTGCAGAGTATCTTCTCCTCAGTTTTCTGTTTAAGATTTCAAATAATCATTCAATCTGTATTTTTTTTAAGAGCCACAAAACTGTCATCTAAGAGAATGATTCCACTTTTAGGACTATACCACAAGAAATATTTCAAAAAAAGAAGGGCTTATTTGTACAAATATAATGTTAACTACGTATTAACTTAAAGAAAAAAAAAAAAAAAATCCAGTAAAAGGGAATGACTAAACTGGTTCTAATACAATCAGCACTATATTACCTAAATTAGTTATTTAAAAATACCACTGTCCATATATGAAATATCTAAGAAAACAAAGGTAATTGGGGGGGGAGGTTAAATATGCACTAATTACAACCAAGTAATAATTGTACCTGTAAATAAAAGATGGAAAGAGAACACAGAGAGAAGAAGAAAGTTATTAAAAACATTTTGTCCTTTAGGTCTAGAAACAGTGGCACCTTAGTAACAACGAACACACCTAGCACCCAAATCTTGATTTTTAAATACCATTCACCAACAAAAGAAACCAGCAAGAAATGGATGATTCTAAGGTTGGGGCTGGGAAGATAAAAGATGAGTCTAAAACATATTGTAGTGCCAGAAAGTAAGAAAGTACTCAAAAAAAACTGATGGGAGTGTACTGAAAGGATATAGAAATTATCCTAAAGGAGCTCCTAATAGCCGAAGCTGGAACAATTTGAACAACAAAATAAGTAACAATAATACTGGATTATAATCCAAGGGCTAAATAAAATAAATACTTGAATAAATAACTAGGGGAGAAAGAAATGTTCCTCCTTATAACAGAATTCCAAACACTAAACAGACAGAATGAAGAAAATAGAAAATCATCATCGAGCAAATGCCACAGAATTGTTGTTGCAGGCAAGAACCACTGATGGACGCTAACATTAGTAGAAAAACAATTACACTGTATAATGAGGAATACACTACTTATCCTGATTTGAGTATCACATATTGCACACAGGTATTGCTATTCAACTCTGTACACCACAGATATGCACAATCAACTATGTTTCAATTAAGAAATATATATATTAGTAGGAGAAAGTATGATGAGAAATAGGACCTTTGCAGAGTCTCAAAGTCTCTCTCCATAAGATACGTAGTATATTAATTACAAACGAAAAAATAATAGATTTACAGTGAAGAAACCTTGCAGAGTAATTATGAAAGAACTGTAGACAAACCTCAATTAAGAAACATTCTACAATATATATGATCAGTACTCTTCGGAAGTGTCAAAATCATGAAAGAAAAGGCTGAGGAACTGTATAACAGACGGGAGAAGATTAAGACATGACAAATAAATGTTGTGTGTGATCCTGGATTGGCTCCTGAACCAAAAAAAAAGGGGGGGGGTGTTGGAAAGAAAACACGGAATTTAAATAAGGTCTATAGATTAGTTAATAAGATTCTATCAATGTCAATTTCCTGGTTTCAATAATTGTACTATGATCACGTAAGATGTTAACTTTAGGGAAAGCCAGTAAAGGGTAGATACAACCTTTCTGTACTATTTTCTCAAGTTTTCCATAGGTCTAAAACCTTTATTTATTTTTATTTTTTATTTTCAAAGATGACCAATAAGGGGATCTTAACCTTGACTTTGTGTTGTCAGCACCACACTCTCCGAAGTGAGCGAACCAGCCATCCCTATATAGGGATCCGAACCTGTGGCCTTGGGTGCTATTAGCACCACACAATCCCAAGTGAGTCACAGCCCGGCCCTAAAATCTTTTTAAAATAAAAAGTTTTAAAAATTATTCTTTTAATGCTTTTGCCTACTTTATAATGGTTTATATGATTAATTCTATTATAAATTAATTCATTCTATTAATTCATATTATAAAAACAAATGTCATAAGAGCACAAATAAAATGTTTTTTATTTTTATCTTTTTTTATTTTCTTCACTTAATGAGATGGCACATAAATTTAATCAGGAGGTAAGAATCAATATACTTAAATTTAAGGAAGTCTTTTATTTTTAAGTCATATATATATATTTTAATTTATTTATTGAATCAAAATTGATTATACATATTTTGGGGGTTCAACATTGAGATATGTTGATCAAATCAATATTACTAGCATATATATTGTTACAAATCGTAATTATTCTTTATGCCCCTGTCTAATCTCTCCCATCCCTCTCTCCCTCCCCCCTCCCCCCTCTAATTACCCTAGATTTCTTTTCTTCTTCTGAAAGAATAATGGTTACTCTGTTGATCTGTTGCCTAGATGATCTGTCCAATGCTGAGAGGTGTGATCAGGTCCCTTAATATTATCGTAGAGCAGATGCTTCTTCTGTCACTCTGAAATGGGCTTTGTAGAGAGAAGCATCCTCTTCTTTATCTCTGCTGGTGATTCTCCTTGTGTGAATGCACTCCAATGGTTGGCAGACCATCTGCATGATGGTTGTAGCATCTAGCCACTTTGGTGGCAGCCATGGTTATTGTGGTAGCTGTGGTGGGCCACCCACATGGAGGTGATGTTTTTGGCATGCTCCGTGGCACTGGCAGTGTGCCTGGTTGTGGGGTGTGTGGGCCCCAAGGCGCTGGTGCAGTGTGCCTGGTTGTGGGAAGGAGGTCCAGTCCCAGGCTCCATACCTTGGATCACCGGGTGGGCCCCAATGTGCTGGCGTGGTGTGCTGGGTTGTGGGAGGGGGTCTGGTCCCCTTCTCCATGACTTGGTTGCCCGGGCAGGTCCTAAGGCACTGGCACAGTGTGCCTGGTTGTGGGAGGGGGCTCCAGTCCCCTTCTCCATGCCTCGGGTCCCTGGGTGGGCTCTGAGGCACTGGCTCAGTGTTCCTGGACGTAGGAGTGGGGTCTGGTCCCTGGCTCCAAGCCTCTGGTTCCCAGGCAGGCCCCAAGGTGGTGGCAGTGTGCCTGAGCCAGAACTAATTTTTTGTCCTTTGCTTACTTCTTTTTTTTTTTTTTTTTTGTCTTTTTCCATGTCCGGCAATGGATCGCA